AAATATAATATATTTATTTAAAAAAAAGAAAAATCTTAAATTCCTAAACTAAACCTAACTCGCTCGACACTCACAGCCTCACATTACGCCGAGAAACACATTCTTTCGCTTTCGCCTCATGCTCACTCTCACTCTTCTCGATCGATGCTCACCTCACCGTCTCTGACTTTCCATTTCCGTCTCCGTCTCCGTCCTTGGCTAGTGGGATCAGTTCCATGGACTCACCCGGAAACTGGACCAGACCACCAGTCCGATTCCCGGGTGGGTCCATGAAATCAATGGACGGTTTCCGATTTCAATTTTTTTGAACTGGTCTTTAGTGGGCGATTCTCGATTCTAGGGTGGGAACCGCCCATCCGGACTATGCTTACCTTTAGGGCTGACGACCCTAGTGTGGTGGTGGAGCGCAAGCACAAGGAGGATCCGCAAGTCCTTCAAACTCTATAATACTCTCTCTCACTCGTTCATGCTCCTCACGCCAAACTTGATGCCCCGGTACGATCCCCACGACGAGAGAACTCATGCGATGCGTGTGATTTCCCGAGTTGTCTCCTGCAATTTCGAGGAAGAGAAGAGAAAGACCAATTCGGTTTCTTGTATTGAAGTTTTTGACATTGATATTGCTTTCCATTGAAAATCCTAGAAGCTTAAACATGCCGCATAACATATCCTTTTGACTTTAACATACCCGTGACAAAATTTAAGAGAAAGTCCTCTCTTGATATGGAGTAAGCCTTTCATGGTAATGTGGTGCCCACTTGGCGACACATCAGCGCCACCTATCTTTAGAAAATATAAAAAAGAATAATGATGCATCGGCATTTTTCGTTGGTTAACATCGATGGAGCTAAGATTTAACGTTTTTTGGACGGTTTTGAGGAATTGATTGGACTATTTAAAAGTTTTAGGACTTGATTGCATTTCTGCAATAAACTTTAAGGATGTCCGCTGCACTAATCCCAATTACTTGTGAGGGTAAATAATAAGGGCAGGTTCTTGTTTGGATTCGGGTTTACATGGATCGGATTTATCATGACCGTTGATCACGTGAGCCCCATATATGAATCTTACATGAACAACATCTGCGACTTATATGGGCCCATAGATTGATATAGATGTGAGACTTCATGATAAGAGAGGAATTCCCCTTTTAACTTTTGCCTCCGGTATATTAAAGTGAAAGTATTATTTATTGAAAACATTATCCATTAAAAGAAGTTACTCTCGGCATAAACATCGTTGTCCAACACTAAATAATTAAATTTTTTTTTTGTTGGTTCTTGAAATATTTAATGCACGTGTAACTTGTTTTCTTAACGCAAAACACGCTTTGAGATCTTGACATTTATTCTCCTAAATGTTTACTTGACACGGTAATAGACCCATGTCCATGTCTTGACTTCACCAATCCCTGTGTAAAGAATAAATTATACCGACGGCGTTGCTATAAGACTTAATTGGGATAAATGTAATTGCGTTTCAAAACTTATCATGAAAGTGCAATTAAATCTTAGAACTTTTGAAAAGTGTAATCATATTTTAAAACTTGTTACGAAAGTGCAATCGAGTCCTAAGATTTATTACGAAAATGCAACCGAATCCTAAAACTTTCAAAAAATGCAATCAACGGACGGACTTGATTCGATCAATTCGATAAGTTCCGGGACTTTCAATTTTTCGTGATAAGTTTTAGTTATTCCAATGTACATCTCCCTACTTTGTTACGCGAATCCAAATTCTCCTTTTCCTAGTGATTCGCCATTCAAACACACGCACGGGTTGACCTAATCAAACGTCAAACTTTCCACAGTCGCGAAAATTCCTGCGATGAATTCTGTTCCTCGCCAGAAAATGATCATTGTCGAAAAGGACAGCAATCGATCGACCAACAATAGACCAAGATCCTCCGCGCGTTTCTCTCCTCCAACCGTTCTTGAAACAGTCTCCCCCCTCGTTTGTTCTTTGGTCGCTGGAAGAAACCTCAGATAAGATAACACATGCAATCGTCAAACTCCTCTCCTAATGAACCTCGTCTAATCCGAGGACTAAGGGCGTAATCAAGACTTGTTCGGACACACTAATCATTCGAACTTGGAAAAATCCAAGTACCCTAATTCCTCCCGGGGCATCCCAAAGCTTTCACACCGGACCACCACCTCCGCCTTTATACACCATTTTTTTAGTGCAAGAAATGAATAAAAAATCAAGAAAATCTGTCACTGAACCGATCTTAAAGAGAAGAAATCGGTCATCTTCTTCTTCTTCTTCACATTCTCTTTGAGGCTCGCCCTCTTCTTTCCATGCAGATTGCTGCTTCAACGATGAAGCCATTGATGTTGTAGGAGATCGTTTGCGTTCAGGATTTAGAAGGCGCGCTCCATTGGATCTGAGGGTTGTGATGAAGAGCTTGCGAGGAGGCCGCATGTTCTCCGACGAGAGAAGCGTGCATGGACAGGGATTCGACCGGCTAAAGGCCACGGAAGAGCCCGACGATTACAGCGCCCGGGCCAGCCATTCGTCCGCGACGAGCCCGCGCGACGTCGAGTCTCCGACCGTCGCGGACTCTTCTCCCACGGACGTGGCCATGTCGCCCTTCGCCAAATCCCCGTGGTCGTGTCATGCGGCGCTGGTGGACGAGAGCTTCGACTACTCGCCGAACGTCCTAATGGGTTCTCTTGTTCGTGAGGAGGGTCACATATACTCGTTGGCCGCGTCCGGGGACTTGCTGTATACCGGCTCCGACAGCAAGAACATCAGGGTATGGAAGAACCAGAGAGAGTTCTCGGGTTTCAAGTCGAATAGCGGGCTGGTCAAGGCGATCATCATCTCCGGGGAGAAGATCTTCACAGGTCATCAGGACGGGAAGATCCGCGTGTGGAGGGTGTCGTCGAAGAATGCGAGCATCCACAAGCGCATCGGCAACTTGCCGACCTTGAAGGACTACATCAAGTGCTCGTTGAACCCGAGCAACTACGTCGAGGTGAGGCGGCACCGCAATGTGCTTTGGATCAAGCACTTCGACGCCATCTCGTGCCTCAGCTTGAGCGAGGACAAGTCGCTATTGTACTCTTCTTCTTGGGACAAGACGTTCAAAGTATGGAGAATCTCGGATTTCAAATGTCTCGAGTCGGTCATGGCCCACGACGATGCGGTGAATGCGATCGTCGCAGGCTTCGACAGCTTAGTCTTCACCGGCTCTGCGGACGGGACCGTCAAAGTGTGGCGGAGGGAGTACCAAGGGAAGGGGACGAAGCACTTCTTCTCGCAAACGTTGCTCAAGCAGGAATATGCCGTCACGGCATTGGCCGTGAACTCGGATGCGACCGTTGTGTACAGCGGCTCCTCGGACGGCCTCGTCAATTATTGGGACCGCGAGAAGCATCTCTCTCACAGCGGCGTCTTGAGAGGCCATAAACTGGCGGTCCTATGCTTGATCGCAGCCGGGAGGTTGGTGCTGAGCGGATCCGCCGACAAGGGGATATGCGTGTGGAAGCGAGACGGCGGCGACCACACGTGCCTGTCCGTGCTGACGGGGCACAACGGGCCAGTCAAGTGCTTGGCCGTAGAGAAGGACCACGACACTCAGCCTTCGGGCGAGAGGCGGTGGATCGTGTACAGCGGCAGTTTGGATAAGTCGGTGAAAATGTGGAGGGTGTCGGAGGCCGCCCCGCCGATGCAAAGAGTGCAACAACACTACACATCCGACGGGAACGCGATGCCGACCACCTTACCGAACGCTCCGAGTTTCTCTACACAGGGTAGGATAAGCCAAAAAAGATCATAGAAAGAAAGATAGCACATTAAACCAACTTGTTCGTTTGTATATTTGATTGATTGATGCCTCTTAGTGCTGACCCAGGAAGGAGATTATCGCAATTAATGTAATTTGTGACGTTTCCATTGTAATGTTCTTTGCATGGTTGGATTGTTTGCATGACAACGAGCGAATGGCCACGAAAATTTGTTCATTGGAGTCTCTCAATGGTTAACATACACATGCACTGAAGAACACAGAAAGACAGACGAAAGAAACTTGGTGCGCTTGCTTCGTCAAACAAACACGTTGAATTATAGTACCTCTCTGCAAGCCAACTTTTCGCATGGTGTTTGGTTTGATTTCTATATTGTGTGCAAGAGAGGAGAAGGGGAGAGAAGATAATCATCATTGCGCAGTACATTTTGAAGGAACGAGGAGAGTTATGGTTGACTTCTAGAGGGCAAACTGTTCCTCTGCAGGCGATGAATTGTTTAATGGAGTGGGCGAGCGAGCGATCGATCTCGTGAACGATCCGGAGCTACAGAGAGTCAAAGGGGGTTGGCCAGTGGAGGAAGCGACGTTGAGACATTCTGGTTCATTAAGGTTGACAAAAATCGAGTGATTACAGCATAATCCAAGAGCTCCTGGAGGCTGAATACGATAAAAAAATCTATCTTATAAACAACTTTATTAGGAAATGAAGAAGCCATGAACGCTCGGGCTTCGTCATATTATAAAGAAGGGAAAAAAGTCATTGGACAAACCCAAGGATTTCATTGCTTTAAACATGAAGATCTGGAAATGGAATCAAGCTATGGAGTTTTGTCGGTCGAAATTGCGGCATCGTCTTGACAATTTTGTGCATACTGGCGTCGGCCTTTTCATTTGTGATTTGATTATACAGGTTTTAAGTTAAGCTGTAGTTTTTGCTGTTGGCTCTGTAAAGCAAGATTTCTCATTGGGCAACATACAGTAGGAGCCTGATAGGGATCGACCACCGGACGATGGTTCGACTTATCTGTGTATGAAAATCTCATGAAATACCATACTGACCTCATGATTCGAATAATACATATTATTCAAAGAATACTAACGTGATACTGATAAAGTAAGATTATATTCGACACTCGGTCAAGAGTTTGCCAAGCCACTTCCTCATCCAAGTTTGTAAATTGATCTTAATATTATTGGCATCATTCATTAGTATAGCCTTTGACAAGTCCAAGTTAGGCTAGCAGTACTATTGATACCAATGATCCTCACTTTTGTTTATCTCCTTTTGTCTTGTTCTCCTCCGGGTGACTGGAGTACAGGGGACAATACTTTAAAAAGAGTAACATCACATCCAGAATTCACTATTGAAACAAATGCACATTTGATTGAGAACCTCCCAATGACCACTTTGCCTCAATGAAGAAACACTGCAACCCAGAGAGAGAGAGAGAGAGAGAGAGAGAGAGAGAGAGAGAGAGAGAGAGAGAGGACTTATCTTACATTTCTTCATTCATAACATAAAACCCTACTCCAACAGCCTATGCTGCCACAGCCGAAAAAAGAAGAAAAGAAACAGCCTATGCTAAGTATGCTTCCCATTGCCAAAATATCTCTATCAGAGGGAGACACTGCCCGTAACTCCACAAGGTGCCGCCCAACGTCTTCAGTCATCTATGAAGCTGTACCGAGCCTGCTCCCGTGTGCTCAACAGAATATTTTTAGCAGCCCAACCCATGGTCGCAATTTGGTCACTCACCGTGCGAACACTTCTTTCAGCGCTCTGCTTGCTATCCTCAGCCAATCTAAACCACTCCTTGAAACCCGAATCAGATACATCACTGGCCCCTAAAATCCGCTCCCATCGATTCTTATTCTGAATTAGGGCCTTGCGGATGTAACATGCCTTCATTCATCATGAAAGACACAAGAAAATGATAATCTCATAGGTAAAGGAACTGTACAGATTGAATTCGACAAGCTCCAGTGAATGTTAACCAAGAATGGTAAAAAAGATGCCATTAAAAAATATAGGATGATGAAATTTATGCAAATACCTGCAACAAACCCATGATAACATCTGAAGTGCCAGCTCCTTCTCTCAGACAAAGCAGGATATTTTGCTGAATTTCAACAAAATAAGTCACGAAAGATTCTATAGAGAGTTAACAGGGGAAGTAGTTCGACCAACTCTCAATTCAAGTACTCACTTCTGCGGTTCTTGCTGATCCACCAAAGGTCTCCAAGCAGATGAAGTAATAATCTTTGCTATTCACAGATTTTATGGCCAACAATGACAACTTGGGAATCTGAACCTTGGTGCCCAAGCTCCCTATTCTTATGGGCCAAAAGTCTTTGCCTGATAAAAAACAACATTGTCTGTTCAATTACCCAGCTCTTGAAACAGTTCATTTTGTCAAAAGGCAGTCAAAATGCAATCACAATACTCACTTTTTGTATTAAATATGTCAATCCCCTCCCTTTTGCTTACTTCAGCAGGCGAAGGCACGTAACCAAACTCGGTCCATGTATTTAAGATGATCTCAAGCCTGTCCTGAATATTTTTCCCCAGGAATGTGTGAAAGAGGAGAGAGGAGGAAGAGAAACAAAGAACCTTTAGTCAGTTAGTTGAAGATTCTAAGGAGGTTTCCCTCGTGCTCATAATACAAAGAGAAAAGCGATAGAACCTAGATGTCATGGGGTTTGGATATAATCATTGCCTCTTTTGGAAATACAGACAGAGAGAAGTATGACCCGGTTGGTACCATTGTTTGTCATCAATTATGTATAAGTCTGAAGGCTATATGTTCTTTTTTAATGAAAAATGCATGCAAACAAGGACAGAGACTTGTAGTACTTTTCCAAAACAAATAAACAGGGTGCCCTGATGAGCTTCTACTTGTTCACTAGACAACTAACTTCAAAACATATTCTGAATTAAAAGATGTTTATACATTATGCACCATGATAAAACGAAGAAACAGTGAATCTGACTATCGCAATATAGAGTAGGTTGACAACCAAAAAGCAGCTCCTTAAATTCAATAGCACTAAACGTTTAGGAATTGGGACTACAGTTCAAAAGTGGTGCTCATAAAATGTTGTGGATGTAATAAGAAATTTTCTTTTCCATTGCCTATGTATGAAATAAAAATCCTAAAAGCTATAGCATGATACTAACCCACCTTAGTTAGAGTTTGCAGGTGGACATACTTGAGTCCCTGATATATTCCCAAAAGGTCTAGTGCTGCGAAGATAGGGTATACCACAAAAGGTAAAGCTGCAAGCAATCTAACACATATGAAGGTTAGAACCGTCAAAAATCAACTATTATAAACTCCTGGTTTGAATCTGGCCAAGAAAAAAACGCTACTAGTTTGGTTGTTAAAACATTCCCAAATTAAATCAAACAAGATCATCATATTGGTACAAAAGTTAACAGAACACAGCTAGTAGAAGCAATTTAAGGATGTTAAGATTCGAATTAGGCTTCAATTGCTGGCAGCCCGAGTATATGGTTAAAACCATATAGTCCATTTTGCAATAGCCGTGACTGTCCCTATCCTATACAAGTTCCATGAGTGTGGTATTAAGAGTGCTTTGAAGCACACAAATAACTTCGCCAAAGATTTCCATTTATGACGTAAGATATGCGTGAGAAGTTCTTGCAGCAGCAGCAGCAGCACTAACTTGCAATAAAATGAATTATGGCTCACTTAGCTTGAGCCAAAAAATGAACAGAACTTGAGTGACTTATGTACAAAATATTGACCAAAATAAAAGGAAAGGCAGGAAATATGAACCTTTGATTGTTCTTGAATGACATGTTAAGAAGTGCAGCAAGCATAAGGCCAAGATTATCAAAGCACACTGATTGAATCTGAAAGCAAACCAAGAGGAAATCATGAAAACTTCTTTTTGCAGAAAAGCAAGCAATGGCAAAAAGGAAGATGCTGGAGCCTGACCTGTGCTTTCGCAGAAACTTCACCAAGGTTATCAGCTACAGCAAAGCTCCGATGAACAGCAGACTTTCCAAAGAGAATGACAACCACAAAGCAAAATCATTCAAGTCAAAAGTGAAGATGGCATATATAAGGCAAGATAGCTAGCATAAAAAGCTTTCCCTGTCAAGAGTAAGGTTCATGAGGTGGATAAAGATGGTGGAAAAATATCAGGAAAAAATAAATCAAGACCACAGATGGATCTCGTGGTGGCAGATAACTAGGCCATGAAAAACTAACAAACATGAGTCCAAAGATCCATTTTTGGTTGATAGAGCACAAGAAAGGAACTCAACAAGTTATATGATGTCCACACAGTGTCAAACCAGACGCCATTGCACAGGAGCTAGAGTGAACGTTCACATTCCAGTAAGCCAAACGTCATGCTTGTGATACAGATATTTACATGACCACTTTGTGCAAGGAAAAGCAAGAACTGAGAAACAACAGAGAACTAAAACTGCTAGAACTCATTTATCTCATTCAACAACTTTTTAAGCTATCTTTACTTTCTGTGTTACCAGATCTTCTCATTTCTATTCTAGAGAGGACATGCAAGCTTTGGCTCCTAAACCCCAAGTTCCAATCTCTCACCTTCTTGACTTGACCCAACTTATGATTAATTTTCCACAAGGCCCCTAAACCCCAGGCAGTAGGGAAAGCACATTTCACACACAGACATTTGGCATAAAAAATATCGTCTAACACACATATATAAATAGTTTTACTATATTTTAAAATTAAAATAAAAAATTGCATATAGATCTTCGAGGCATCATATGGACAAGATACATTTTAGAGGATCCTTTCAATATCTGGAATATCATAAATGAACTGGGGCAGAATTCTTACACCAGTGGCCAAATAGCATGCGAGGCTGATTTGTTTTGCGATATTGGCTATGGATGCAAGAAGCAGGAAGTATTGTGGGAATACAGGAGTCAGCAGCTCCACACCAATACTCAAACTGAAGATAACTGATGTCGAGAACCGAACCCTCTTCAAATAAAATAACTCATCATCAAAGATATATCAAGACATGAGTAGTAACACAATATTGCCATCATAAAATGCAAGATTTCTGCTCTACTTGTCACTATTATATCTAACCACCATATAGCAGTGAGGTACCAAGTTAACATCAGAACTATGCATAGGAATGACTATTGACAAGAAGAAGGAAAAAGGTTTTTACTACAATACAGAGTGGAAGGACGCTAAAACTAAAAGTGAAACCTTCAAGTTGGTATCAAAAGCAGATGCCAGGCTAGCAGTGTAAATGCACCTACTCAGCCGTCCAAGTCCATCTTTCAAGACCCAATTCAATGCGGCAGCTGACGGCAGTGATCGAGAGTATCCAATCCCTATAGCTCGGAACATCGCCTGAATTTCCAAACAATTGATCATCAAACTAACTCCTTAGAAGGCAACATCTTGCAAATAAAACATCGACCATCTGCTAAATATGCACCATACATTTCGAGCACTAAAAAAGCACTGCAAATACATAATCAGGTCAGCCGAGCAGTGATTTTTAAGGTCCAACCCACCAGGCATCAATCTGAGAATATAAACAATCAGAGTCAAAGAAACCCACCAAGCTAGCGTTTTTCACACATCTTCAAACGAAAATTACAAAAAAAAAAAACTCCCCGATTACCTGAGTAGCAAGAACCTGAAGAGCAGAGCTGAAGACGCGATGCAAGAGCTTCCATTTCACATAGTCCAGGTAAGTCGCGCTCACTCGCTTCGGAATGAAGAAATCCCTCACGAACACCCTACAGGCCCTCCCCAGCTCCCGAACCCCACCATCGAAATCGAGGCCAAACGACGCAGCCCCACCGTCGACGCTCACCAGCCGCAGGCAGCCCCCATCCCAGACGTACCTGGACACCCTGCCGGACTTCCGAATCACCACAGGGAGCTTCCCCGCCGCCGGCAACGAAGTGGGTCCGAAGCCCTTTTCTTCCCGGAGCTTATCTTCCTCTGGGTCGGAGTGGAGGGGAGTCCGCAGAGAGCTGGTGGCGATGAGTCCGGGTTTCCTCGAAATGGGTGTCCGGGGTTCACGGAGCTGGCGAGGAAGGCGGAAGCGGCATGGGTGGGGCGTCGTGTAGCGAGTGGATTGCATGAGAAAAATCGAAGGGTGTGCGTTCACAGAGAGGGCAGAGGAGATTGCCGGAGACGAAAAGTGTTCGAAGTGGGAAGTTTGTGATGGCGTGAGGCGGCTGCTCCGACCGCTTCGCTTCGCTACGAACGCGCAGAGAGAGAGACACCTGAATCACTTGAACGTGCGTCTCTTTTGTTTTATGTGTGTTTTCCCTCGCAGGTTGCAGGGTTTTCTATAATTATGTTGCCCGAATATAATTCGGATTAATACGACGAAAAATTCTAAATAGATGTAACCCTAAATCGGTATATCTGTGATAAATTTATTTTTTATTAATTTTCGTTAAATTTTACCGTCAAATTGCTGAGTTGGATGACATGCGACTGTTGACAGACGTACTAGTTCGGGGTTTTACCCACCGTTTGTCACGGTTATACTGGTTTGTGATTTTCTGTGGTATTAATCCAATTTAACGGAAATTAATAGAGGGTAAATTTGTCACAGATGCATTAGTTTGTAGTTTTTTATGATCAACAAATTAGTTTAAGCTAAATTTGTCACAGGTGTAGCAGTTTGGAGTTTTTGATGATCAAAATATTAGTTTGGAGTAAATTTGTTACAGATATATCGGTTTGGGATCTTTCGTGGTATTAATCCGTGTAACTTTACTATATAGTTCACAATATAAATATTAACACAATGATTAATTAGCTGATTCAATATCGACCACATTGTGAATCAACGCAACCAATATGTTATTGCGATTGCTGTATTATCTACATATTGCAAGAATTACATGAGCATGCCATTTGCACAGTTACATATTACTCATTCAAACATTTCATTGGGGAGCCGGCTAATCATGATGATAAAAATATAGGATACATGTGATCACAATAATAATTTGGTCAGAGCTAAGAGCATTTTCGAATATTTTACCGCATGGAAACCCAACAAAGCAATTGCTATTTTCATTACTTTAAACTAGGGGTGAGCATGGTTCGGGTTGGGCCGATCTACCCCCTAACCCTAGGACCAACCCGCACAATGTTGGTTCTCAATTTTGGGACCGAGGACCGCCCGTCGGTTCCATGGACCTGCCCGGGAACCGGACCGCCGGTCCGGTCCGGTTCCCGGACGTGTCCATGGAACCGATCCCACCAAGTTTTCCTGGATAAATAAAAAAAAAATATATGGACCAATATCGGATTAACGGAACAAAAAGAAAAGAACATAACTTTCCATACAATTCCTATACTATGATCGGTTCTATTAACCACATCATCCATAAATCAAGTGGGTATCCATCAAATGAGTGTCCAGAGATAAGAGAGCAGAGAGTTATGAGTGTCTAGTTACGTTTTTTTTTTTTTTTTAAAATTTTTTTTGTCAGATTTTTTTAATTAAAATTTTAAAAAATAAATATATTATTATTATATTACCGGTCCGGTCCGGTCCGGGTGGGCGGGTGGGGGGTTCCACACCGGGAACCGGACCGATACCCACTGGTTCCAAAAAAATTGGAACCGGGAACCGGTCCGGTCCCCTTGGGAACCACCGGTTCCGGTCCGGTCCCGGGCGGTCCTGGGCGGTCCTGGGTTTTTTGCACACCCCTACTTTAAACCAAACAAGATGATATGTCTGTTGCAATGCTACTCGTTACTGTTGCTGCACCAGCACAGCATGTCCTATTCATCCTCACTTTCTCAGGCTGTATCAACCATCAAACTTCCGAAAGTTAATGTTTTTCGCTTACCAAGAACTTCACGGGCTACAAATTTGTGAGTTCAGGTCTTGTACAGTCAGCCTGTTGCCATGTCCGACCCCGCAAGATCGTGTCCGCTCAAGCACATCGAGTCGGCAACTGCAAGAAGCTTCTTCCTGAACGTCTTGATCATCGGATCGAGCATCTGTATCCGATGATCAAGACCCCGACAGATCAGAATCAATGTGCTACGCTAGACCAAGCCTCACGGTAAAGGGAAGTCCTTACATTTTCTTTTGTTCGTGAAATGTTCCGTTAAACAGAGAGACAAAAATTTATCTGGGCAAAGCTTCAGCATCAAGTAGCGCACCTTACTTTGTTTTGGTGGCGTTGCAGTAGAGGGCTCAATGTATGGAACGACTTCATGGGTATTTACTAGTAGTTACCTGTCATTAGGAGTCCAATTTTCGGGCAATACCCTGGATGTTCATCGTAACGAGAACTATATCGGGTGATTTGGCGACTCGTGTCGCCCAACTTCTCTCTAGCATAGTCCTTGTCCTGCACATTGATGTGCAGTGCAATTTAAATCTGCACTACCATTCACTTTTTGCATTTGGCATTGAGCACCATAAACTATTGATGCACCAACCCCATATCTTGCCGAGCATTACACTACATGATTACGTTTTGAATCAATCCATATACAGATGACCTCCCAATAAGCTTTTGGGAGGACTTCAAATGGAACAGTCTTCCAATTTGGCCGAGCCATTGCTCTCAGTCGTACACACAAAATCGTCATCCAACTCCAAGTCTCTGCAGCAAACTAGCCAATGTCGCCATCTGCAGGTCGAATTGAAGAAGTTACTTATCAACCCCTTTCGCAGTTGTACGCCTTTTTTTCGTGGTCTGTTGCACCAGCTTGATATGATAAAGTGAATCATTTGAAATAAAGTTCAATCATCACAATTTTGCGCATCACCAACAGGCCCTGTAAAGACCGAAGCCAGCCAAACATGACAAAGGACATTCCCAGAAGTGTTGATGCGACTATTCTTGCTCTGCCAAGAAAATCTCAATAATGGGACAGTGAAGCAAACTGTGCAGACCTAGTCTTGTGGCGATTGAAATTGGTCATTACTCATTAGACATAGTCAATCCCAGAATCGTCGATTGCGAGCATTCTTGCTCTGTCCAAGAAAAACTTCATAATGGGACAGTGAAGCACTCTGTGCAGACCCAGTCTTTTAGCCATTGAAAATTGGTCGATACTTATTAGACATCATGCCTTACATTTTGGCGATCCGACTATGTTTAATAATAGGTCAACCTAGGCCAACTGCCCTTGTTTTCAGGCATGTTGCACTGGCTTCTTGACTTGTATCACCATTAGGCAGAGAAAGGATTTACCTAGGTCAAGCATGAGATCGAGGTTATCAGGATCTGAAGCAGTGCCAGAATGCATAATTTAGGTTCAGAATTAGGATTTCTGTGATAAATCAATCCTAAGACTTCATGTGCTAATGTCCATCTTCCAAAACCATGAAACTTTCGCACTTTCCACTTATTCGATTTGATTCCTCTGCCTTCTCCCATTAACCAAATGATCAAGATAAAGGGAAAATCGATCCACAATGTATATTTCTGAAAATGGATGTATCATAAGCCAACAACAATGAAGAGTAAACCAGCATAATACTTTTTGTAGACGACTTGACTTCCTTGCCCTTGAATCTCAAATTCGCAGTTGCAGATTTTTCAAGAATGAGTTGTAACATGTAACATGTCATGTACCAGGAAAAAAAGAACATACTGCTGTCGTAAAAGTACACAGTAGAAATTTATGTTTCAGAACAATCCGAGGATTCCTCAACAACATATGAAACAACAAATTTCAGCTAAAGAGCTAAAGCAATTGCCGTTCCCACAATAAAATCCATCGAGGCTTTATAATATTACATTTGTTAAAACTCTATGTACCTAGATGTGAGGAAGATGAAAACCGCACAAAGAATCATTCCCTAACTGCCAGAACATCCGAGTCCCCATCGTTTTTAGGATGTCAGCCCCACTACACACAAATCAAGCCTTCATGTCGAAATACGTAGGATTCTATTGTAATTTAAAGCCCCGTGGAAGAACGCTTGCGATTGTTTTGCTGCATGTGTTCCCCTCTCCAAGGACAAACTCGAGCATGCATCGGTTGCCTATTCTCAAATTGTTCTCCTTCCTAAACTTAGTCCACCCGGAGGACAGAGAGACCCAGCCGTCTTTCCTTGCATTAATCTGCACGGGCCATGTCCTCCCATTTTGATCATGCACAATCATCTTCTCATTGGGAGTTAGCTTTATTCGATTTCTCTTTAGGAATGAACAAGGGATATTCTGCATTATAGATGAGCAGACAACATGTAAGGATAATTGAAGCAGCTAAATGGTCAATAAAAAAAATTGAAGCAACGATGTTCCATTACATATATAGAGCATGACTACATTATGTTTCGTGTTATATTAATTAGATTTCCCAAGTAATCGCTCATCTCCCTTTCTATGTGATGATGGATTCATTGCGACAACCACTTCCAAGCTTTTAAAACTATTTGGCGCTGCTGAAATGCCTCACAGAGAAGCAGACTCTGTTAAACTTATCAATTTGCTGCACAAATCTAAGGAAACTATTACTCGGTGATTTGGTCATGATTATGATTGTTCAAGGTCATTAAACCCAAAGTACCTCAAAGCTTTACGAAGCTCCTGTTAGTTTTTTATGTATCGCCCATTATTCTGCTATCAACAGTCCATTAAATTTACGATGACTTTGAAACGGTTTTATGTGTGACATGACTCCAAGATTAGGAAACTTAGGGTCCTGACGTGTTCCTACGACGAGATCTATTAAAGAAGTATTCTACAATCAAGAATGCAGACAAGCCAGGAACAATATTACTGAAATTATGGAGCACAAATAAGTTTTATGTGAAAGACTAACCATGGCTTTCAGTGAATATTTTGAGATGCAAGATACGAAGTGCGGATTCGTCGGCATGGCATATGTCTCCAAGGAGCACTTGCTAGCAGTTTCCCCGTTGAACTCTAGTTTCGTTTTGAAGTGGGAATCTCCATGCAAAACTGTAGAGAAAGGAGAGCATGCGAAGGTCAGGAAGCAACCCAAATATACCAGAAAAAGAAGAAGCAACAACCAAGTACCGTGATTTTCCATTCCATTGATATTCAAGTCCGAGAACTTCCGCTTACAAGCCCGAACAGGCCTCTTCTTTTCCTGTTCTGCCTCATTTACTTCGTCTGCCGGCTCTTCCGTCTTCACAACAGCTAATGGTCTATTGACTCTGCAAGTCATTTCTTTCCTGCACCCATTCTTACCAAATGTTTTGACAAGGAACACCGAATCCCTATTGTATCTGAAAATGAGAAAATCAGCAAACTCTAGAGAATGGTCGATCACGAAGTCCCGCCAACCACTCTTAAAGAACAATTTATTTCCAACTTCTGCTATTTTAATTGGCCATGATCTCCCTGTAGTATCCTTAAGAAGCGCCATTTTTGGCACAACTCCCTTAAAATGCTTCACGAAATCCAGTGGTATAAGCTGCAATGAAAAATTGAATTCCATATACCAAGTTAACAGATAATAAAAAGCAAAAACATCTAAAACTAAGATTCTAGGTAAGGGCCTTTTCATCAGCGGGAGCACACAATGCAGTTATCTATTCTCAGATTTTCTTGCTAGTCCTGATTGCAAATGCCACTTCATGATTATGAACTACTTTCAAATTCATCAAAGACCGAATGCCGCACAAAAGAATGTCCACGGGACATGATATTACATCGGCATCTATCACATTCAAACTATGTACATGTTCTTAGGGCAATTATTTAATCTAGAACATTTCTTCCACGCAAATTCACCCGAAGCGCATAACCTCTCCCACTTGACAAGGCAATCAAGAAAACTCTTCACACGCAATTTGCTAGGTTTCAACAAGATAAGTGGATCGTCACGGTCCAGTTCAAAGGCAAGCCAAAAGAAGCACGCTAGGGTTTCATCAAGCTAGTAACATTGCATTCATGAACTGTGTGATCATATAAGATTTCCCTAATGCTCTAGAAAACACAAGAAAGTTACAGAAAGCCGGCATTCATGAACAAACGTGCATGTGCATGTATATGTGCAGGCAGAGAGAGAGAGAGAGAGAGAGAGAGAGAGAGAGAGAGAGAGAGAGAGAGAGAGAGAGAGAGAGAGACCAGTTGGTGAGAACTGAAGGAGGGGAGATAAACTTTGAAGAACTCAAGAGGCTCGCCAGAGGAAGAGGTCTTCGCGGGACGACGGGCGTCCATCGTTTTCCTGCTTTGCCAGAGGTGGTTTTCAATGGCGGTCGCTGTTGGGAAACAGGCAGATACTGTTCTTGCGTTAGGTTTCGAAGAGAGACGAAGGAAGCGGAAAACGTCTAAAGAAGATCATGGGTTATCACACAAAAAAGGTAAAAAATCCCCAGATTTCCCTATCTTATTCAATTTCATATTTAGACCTTATCTTTCTTTCCTTTTTTGGTTGCCAAACACCTACGAGACAGGATTAAAATTTATAAGCATGCATCTTTATTATGTGATGAACGTCCTATGGCAAGTGATTTAATACCATTTCATTAATGTAATGGGAGTTTTTATAGCATGCAATTACTGTGGCTGTACTTATGATATAAATCCGGATTTATTGAGGAGATGCAAATTGAGTTTCCACATTGTTTTAGAAGTATTCAAATAAATCCAAAAAAGTACTTTGCTAGTGGTGGAATTCCATGAAATGCTTTCGCTTAAGGCGATTTGAAGGTCTAGCATCATGCCATTTGCATTGCCCACCAAACTAGGTGCGCCTTTTACATGAGTGGATTGGATTAGATTTCGTGTACAAGTAGGTTCGGGGTAGATGAATAAATCAATTATTGAGTAGAACAAGAACCTGTATTTTAATCATTAAAGTTAATTTAGAACAAACCATGTAGAAATTAAAATATTTGAAAGGAAATTATGCAACTTATGTTGAGTTCTGTACATGAAATTTTAATTTGTTTGGAAGTTTTTTGAAAATTATGAACTTATCTATGCATGCAAATGCCAATATCTATGCAAAGGATAATCAAGAATATTATAGGGAAAAAGGAAAAGTTGTTGCTTAAAGATTGGATAAGAGGTTAATTCTCAATTTTACATATTTTTGCTGCGTATAATATTTTCCTAGATTCCCAGTTTCTTTCAAATAAGTACGGAATACAAACGGATATAAATAATATAAATTAATTATAGGAAACCTTAGACACTTGACAACTTCATTACCAAAAGCGTTGTAAGCTAAATCGGTCTATCGATCTATCTTTCTATCTATATCTATACAAAAATGGTAAAGCTTGTGCCAGTTTAAATGACATACTTCTATGCGAGTTTTACCCAATAATTTGCTTTTAATGGTCACTTGATTGTTGTATATATAAATCCATCTACTTTTCATATGAACATAGTTGTATATCTCGTTTAATTCCAATTTTTTTTTTTTGCTAGAACTCGTTTAATTCCAATTACTTTTAAGTTCATAGGAATACAATCCTACATTTGATATAACTCCTTTCACCGGTTTTCTTCATATAGATTTTTTTCACCTATCATATCCTTCACCTCAAGAGCTCAATGTTTGCAAACGTAATTTAGATGTATCTATTCTTCTTTTCGTTATTAGTGTTGGTAATATTTTAGTATATACATACACACACGGCCTAGTTTAAAAAAAAAAGCACAAACTTTATCTTGAGTGACAATTCTGACCCAAACTTTTTTTTATCTCATAAAAAATCAACTTTCACTTAAATCTCCAATTTGGCCGGAATAATTTGAAAATTTCACATCACGGAAGTTAGATTTGGGACTCGAGTAAAAGTTAATGCTTTTTATTGAGACACAAAATGTTCGGGCTAAAATTGTCGCTCAAGGTAAGTTAGTGTCTACTACTGTGTAGCACGCGTTTCACATGGCCTTGCTTCATTGCGCATGATGAGAACAAAGCCTTGAGGGGAAGGGCCGGAGCGCCTCTACCCAAGACAACGCGTTTTAAAGCGCGTGAGGGTCGGTGGGCCCAAAGCGGACAATATTACAGTGTAGACCCGGGTCCTTACAAATGGTATCGAGCCGACTCGACCGCTTGTGGGGCCACAGCGAGATCTTTGTGCTCGAAGGAGGAGAATGTAACGACCGGTCCGACGAGGCGGGAGTGGTCGCCGGCTGCAGGGCTGGACAAGGAGGCGGCTCCCTGGCAGGCTTCTAGGATGGCAAGGAGGGCATGTTTCTTGTCCCACATCGCTTAGGGAGAGAGTCCTGGGCTAGTTTATAAGGCTTGGGTTCTCTACTGCGTAAGCGTTTCACATGGGCTTGCTTCATTGCGCATGATGAGAACAAAGCCTTGAGGAAGGGCCGAGAGCGCCCCAAAGAGGACAATATTAGGCTTGGGGAGGAAGGGCCGAGAGCGCGCCTCTACCAAGACAACGCGTTTTAAAGTCGTGAGGTCGGTGGGCCCAAAGCGGACAATATTACACAAGACTCGGGTCCTTACGGTTAGTGCTTTTTTTTTTGAATTAGCCCATATATACATATATCTATATTTGGTGTTGTTATCCATTGAGCATAGTTTCGTCCACAAATTCAATTTTTTTTTCCTTTTAGAGTGTAAATTTTCTTATTAAGTGCCTTATAATAGAATAAATTAGAAAAAGAAGAGCTCGAATACCATTTTTTTTTGGTCGAGTTCAAATACCATTAGCTTCATCCACAAATTCAATTTTATCTTTTCTATGAGTATGTACATTTTCTTACTAAGTGCTATACTCTTTAAATGTACATTCTCTATTATATAATTTTTTGGCGCGAGGTTGCATCACATATGACATTCAAGTGTGAACTTTACCGAAATTTGATTTTCAAGGTCTCTTTAACATACTTCATTTTGAATTCAAGTATATGACAAAGTTTTGAAAGATTTTAATCATGTAGGAATACCCATCACAACTTATATATGGTTACCTTTTAAAGCTTATGAACTTCTCTCGTGTATTTTTTTTTCGCGTGAGGCACCACAAGTCACATTGACGTGAGAGCTTTACCTAGTAATTCGTTCTCAAGGTCACTTTAACATGTCTTATTTTGAATTCAAGATTATGACGAGATTTTGAAATACTTTAAAAATGTAGGGCTACCTTATAACATGATGTCTCTTATTTGAGAAATAATAGATTTAAAAGATCAATATCATATTCCTTACCAAAAAAAAAAAGATCAATATCATATTTGACTCATATTTCACATAAAGAGTACTATTAAAAAATCAACAACAAAAAAAATCCATCAAAAAAGAAATTATTTAAGATGCTTTACAAATAAGTGGAAATAATAAAACCACCCATCATTACAAATAGGAGGGCAAATCTATATGTTTAGAGGATTCTACATTGCACGACTACGTATATTTAGAAAATATATTAACAAATCAATAGAAAATTTTATAACCCAATAATCTATAATTAACGAATTAATTATACGAATATGTAATAAATTTGTGCTAGATAAGATTGCTTACGAAGAGTTGCATAATGTAGAGGTATCTACTGTGAGATGATACTCTATATTTGACACATAAATAAAAATTAAAAGATTAACAAAAATTATGCATCATCACAAAAAATATTATATTATATGCTTATAGTTAAATGAACATTACAACAAAAATAATTAGCAAAGTAAAAGAATGAAATTTATCCATTGTCACGAAAAGTCTATAGAATGAGAATAATATTGTTTCGCCGAAATTGGCCTCCGCGACAAAATACCTTTCATCAGGTGTCGTTCTTCGGTTTTATTAGAGGAGATGGTTCTCTGGCCATTCCAGACAAGTTTAAAATGTTTCTCTTTCACTGGCCAACAATTGCAAATTCTTGACACGATCAAACTGTATTTGGAAAAAAAAAACATGTGAACATGAAATAAGTTTATCATCATTGCAGTGGATTTTGCTGTAAAAACTATACTTCTGCTGCTTAAGGATAAATTGACTCCAACAAAACTGAATTCATGGAAATGCTTACGGTTTCAAGTATTGATGGAGGAAGAAGCACTTCTGAATGCTTTAACATGACTTCAGATCAACTTGCACACAGTTATAGCTTGAAAAACATAATAAGTTAGAATTGCTCACCCAACAAGTCGCCTTAATAACTGTATCCGAATCGAGATCTGAAAACTTTACACCTCCGATGATGTTCAGCATCGAATCCATGAAATCTTGCTCTTGATCCTTCGGGGAGGGACAACCTCTTCCTTCTATGCTCCTCTAGCCATCCCTGAGCCTAAACATCCAACTCTTTCACGGTCTCGTTCATAGATCGTTTATATCGTTTATAGCCATCTAAGGCCAACCAGCCGAGAGTCGAGATCGCATCCGAAAACACGACGACCCCGAACAGATCTAGAGACCTCCCGATTGACCTTTTGCACCTCTTTCCCTTGGTGTCATCGCAGTCCACTTTGGAACCACAGCATCTCTTCCCTCCTACCATTTTCAAAGATATATTGAGCATCAAGTCTCCTAGCCAAGGCTTCATTTCCACTAGGACCCCACTTCTAGGCCTACCCTTTTCGATCCAGGCCTTGAACACAAGTCTTTTATTGCTGTCTCGACCTCAAAAGCTCGTATGTGCTTCAATGAGTCAAGCCGGTGGTTCGACAGGAGCTCAATCGTCGCAATCTTGCACATTTCTTGCCAGTATTACCCGTAATGAGGGAAGCCGAACATGGCACCGTTGTAGGCCATGAGCCTCGTGGCAATGATCATTAGTCGATCAGCGAAGGCCTTGTTGTGGACAGTGAAACACTCCTTAGCCACTTCCCAACTGCTTACCACGATTGCTCGATGAGAGCCCAATCTTATGGTGGTGATCATTTGTAGCTTTTGCTTCCTTTTTTTGCACGAGCACATAATATCCTATTCATCCTCACTTTCTCCGGGCTGTATCAAACTTCAGATATCAAACTTCCGAAGTTAATGTCTTTCGTTTACCAAGAACTTCACGGGCTAGAAATTTGTGAATTCTGGTCTTATACAGTCAACCTGTTGCTATGTTCGATCTCATGAAATCATGTCTGCTCGAGCACATTGAGTCAGCAACTGCAAGAAGCTTCATTCTGAACATCTCGAGCATCTCAATCCGGTGATCAAGACCTCAACAGATTGAATTCGACGTGCTATACGAAACCAAGTCTCGTGGTAAAAATAAGTCCATACATCTTCTTTCGTTCATGAAATGTTCCATTAAAAGGAGAGACAAAAATTAGGACGGCCAAGATTTAGTATCGAGATCAGCAGAATTTAGAAGCACCTAAGGTTGTTTTGGTGGTGTAGCAGTACAGTGCTCAATCTATAGAACGACTACACTATTACCTATTAGTATTTACCTTTTATTCGGCATCCTATTTTTGTGGTATACCCTGTATGTTCATCGTAAACGAAAATTATATCAGGCAATTTGGCAGCTCGTGCCCATAATTTTGCTCTAGCATAGTCCTTGTCCGGTCCATTGATGTGCAATGCAATTAAATCTGTTCTACCATTCATTTGTACTATTTGGTACTGAGCAGGATAAACTATTGATGCACCACCCCTATATCCTTCCAAAGAGAACACTTACATGATTACGCCTCGAATCAATCAAGATACAAACAACCTCCCGATAAGCTTTTAGGAGAACTTCAAATGAAGTCGTCTTCACATTTGGCCGAGCCATTGCTCTCCGTTGTACACACACATCGCCATCTTTTACCAATCCGACTTCCAAGTCTCTGCGGCACACTAGCCAGCGTCAAGTGCAATCTGCAGGTCGAATTGAAGAGTTCCTTATCAACCTTTTGAAGTTCTAAGCCTATTTCCGTTGTTTGTTGCACCAGCTTGATATGATAAAGTGAGTCTTTTGAAACAAGTCCTATCATCACAATTGAGCGCACTTCTTGCCAGTAAGCCCCGTAAGGACCGAAGGATAGTCATTCCCAGAATAGTCGATGCAAGCATTCTTGCTCTGTCTAAGAAAAACTTCAAAATGGGACACTGAAGCACTCTGTGCAGACCTAGTCCTGTAGCGATTGAAAATTGGTCAATACTCGCTAGGCATTGTGGCTTGTATTTTGGCAGTCAGCTTGTCACCATCAAACACGTGACTTTGTTTAATAATAGGTCAACTGCCATCGTTTTCAGGCACGTTGCCCTGCCTTCTTGACTTGCTTAAAAATTAAACAGAAATGGGTTTAGCCAGGCCAAGAATTAGATCGAGGTTATCAGGATCTGAAGCAGTGCCAAAATGCATAATTTAGGTTCAGAATTAGGATTTCTACAATAAATCAATCCTAAGACTTCATGTGCTAATGTCCATCTTCCAAAAAAAAGTGATACTTTCACACTTTCCAGTAATTCAATTCAATTCCTCTGCCTTCTCCTCTTAACCAAACGCTCAAGTCAAAGGGCAACTGATCCACAATGTATATTTCTGGAATCTGGATGCATCATAAGCATACAACAGTGAAGAGTAAACCAGAATTATACTTTCTGTAGTTGACTTCCTTGCCTTTGAATCTCAAATTCGCAGATGCAGATTTTTCAAGAATGCGCTGGTAATATGTCATGTACCGGGGAAAAAGGAACATATAAATGTCATAAAGGTGCACAGTAGAAATTTAGGTTTCAGAACAGTTCCAGGATTCCTTAAGAAGAATGAAACGGCAAATTACAACTAAAGAGCTTCTGCAATCACCTCTCACACATCCAATTTGGCCGAGCCATTACTCACACAAAGTACCTCAAAGCTTTATGAAGCTCCTACTTGTTTTTCATGCATCACCCATTATACTGCTATCAACAGTCCATTGAATTTACAAAGACTTTTAGTACTATTTGTGGCATGACTCCAAGATTGGCAACATAGGGTCCTGAGGTGTTCCTATGAGAAACTCAAGATCTATTAAAAAAGTATTCTACAATCAAGAATTGCAGACAACCAGGGATGATATTGAAATTACAGAGCACTGAAAATTGAACAAGTCTAATGTGAAAGACAAACCATGACTTTCAGCGAACATTTGAAGATGCACGATACAAAGTGCGGATTCTTCGTCGTAATATGTGTCTCCAAGCTGGACTTGCTAAAGTTTTCTCTGACGAACTCTTGTTCCTGTTTGAACAGAGAATCTCTGTGAGAAACTACAGAAAGGAGAGCATGCAAAGGAAGGAGGCAACACAATTTTGCCAGAAAAAAAGTTGTAACAAGCAAGTACCATGATTTTCCATTCTATTAATATTTAGGTCCATAAACTTCCTCTTACAAGCCCGAATAGGCCTCCTCGGTTTCTGTTCTGCCTCGTTTACTTCATCTGCCAGCTCTTCCGTCTTCACAACAGCTGACTGTCTATTGACTCTGTAAGTGGCTTCTTTCCTGCACCCGTTCTTACCGAATACTTTGACAAGGAACACCGAGTCCCTATTGTATCTGAAAATTAGACCGAATACTTTGACAAGGAACACCGAGTCCCTATTGTATCTGAAAATTAGAAAATCCGCAAAATCTAGAGGATGATTGATCACGAAGTCCCACCAACCACTCTTAATGAACAATTTATTTCCTACTTCTGCTATCCCAATTGGCCATGATCTCCCTGTAGTATCCATGAGAACAGCCTTTTTTGGCACGGCTCCCTTACGTTGCTTCACGAAATCCGGTGGTATAAGCTGCAATGAAAAAATCAATTCCATACTCAGAACCCAGGTAAGAGCCTTTTCACCAGTGGGAGCAGACAATGTAGTTTTTTATTCTCAGATTTCGTTACTGGTCCTGGCTATGACTACTACAACATAATTATGAACTGCTTTGAAATTCATCAAATCCCGAATGTCGCACAAAAAAATGTCGATGGGACATGATTTTTCATTGGCACATTTCACATTAAAATTCTGTGATGTTCACAATCTAGAATGTTTCTTCCACGCAAATTCACTCAAAAGGCATGGACAATCTCTCCCACTTGATAAGGCAATCAAGAAAACACTTCAAATACCATTCACTAGGTTTCAACAAGATAAGTGGATCATCACAACACAGTTCAAAGGCAAGCCAAAAGAGCACACTAGGGTTTCATCAAGCTAGTAACATTGCATCCATGAACTGTGATCATATAAGCTTTCTCTAATACTCTAGAAAACATAAGAAAGTTATAAAAGCCGGCATTTACGGATAATCAGGTTAGTCCTACAATTCATGTTGTGAACAAACGTGCATGCGCATGTGCATGCATGAGAGAGAGAGAGAGAGAGAGAGAGAGAGAGAGAGAGAGAGAGAGAGAGACCAGTTGGTGAGAACTGAAGGAAGGGAGATAAACTTTGAAGAACTCGAGAGACTCGTCAGAGGAAGAGGTCTTGGCGGGACGACGGTCGTCCATTGCTCTCCTGCTTTGCCGAGGTGGTTTCAATGGCGGTCGCTGTTGGGAAACAGAAGATATTGTTCTTGTGTCGAGGTTACGATTAGAGAAAAAGGAAACTGAACATCCGACAAGATCGTGGGTTATCACAAAAAAGAAGGGATAATGGCGCAAATGATTCCTAGATTTTGGTCTAATATGCAACGTAGTTTATGAATTTTTAATTTATTCAATATGGCCCTTGAATTTTTGGCAAATGTTCAAACTAGTCCCTAGACTGTACGAAGATATCCAATATTATGCTTCCATTAATTTAAATTCAGGAACAATATTGAATATTTTCATATAATTTAGGGACTGGTTTGAACATGTATCGAAAGTTCAGGGATTACATTGAACAAATTAAAAGTTTAGAATGATATTACATATTGAGCTAAAGTTCATTCATCATATTGAACAAATTAAAAGTTCATAGACCACATGGCACATTGAGTTAAAGTTCAAGAATTATTTGTGTATTATCCCAAAAAAGAAAAAAAGAACAAATATTATCCATAGATATTCTATCTCATTCAATTTCAAGTCAGATCTTCTGATTTGAGTGCGAGTAAGTTACGGGTAGATGAATAAATCAATTTTTGAGTAAAACAAGAATGTGTATCCTAATCATGAAGGTTTATAGAGTTAATTTAGAACAACCCATGTAGTATGATGAGATCTATATTTTTAGAGGAAAAAAGGGCAACCAGGAACCTTATCTTTCGGTTTATGTAAAGAAACACATCGGAAAGTGATAATAGTCAAGCAATAACAAAATTTGTACGAAATTTAAGGGCAACTCTTAAACGCATAATGGATCTTGCTCAATCAATTAATAACAAAATCTAGTATCATGAGATCTATTTTTCGAGAGAAAAAAATCTAAGCGATAATATTCAAACAATAGGAAACTTATGAAGGATTCAAATGCAGCTTTTAGGCTTTGTTTATTTTGCGAAAAATGAATAATTTGAAATACATTTCCTAAAAATGATTGCTAGTATTGTTTACAAAATTGAATATTTTGATCGCCCATGAAATTTTTTAGATATAATTTGTTGTCAATGATGAAAGCATTTTCCATTGTTTAATCATTTCAAGTGATTATTTTTAGGAAATTATTTTCCAAACCATTTATTTTTCGAGAAACAAATGGAGTATTAAAATAGTAGATAATTGTTCTTTGGCCAAAAATAAGATTTAATGGATATAGGTTGAAAGAATCTACAAAATGTAGGAAAGCGAATATACTTGTACTCTGAAATTGTGATTATTTTAGAATTAGTCACTGCTTCTTGTGATTGCAAGAAGGTAAGAGGTATTTGACGACAACGAAGTTTAGTTAGTATTCATTATATATATAATGTAGATATATTAGTGGTGATAAAATTAGATTTGCTCTAAAATTATCTGTTTCCTTATGTTGTTTTTTCTTTCTTTGCATTTAAGGAATCTCACTTGGTGGGATTTCCCTCCAATCCCACAAAGTGAGATATTCCAATTCTAATTTTTCCACGAAACCGTTTAAACGAAAGGAAAAGCGACCGTCAATGATTCAATAAGTAGTTCATTCTCAATTTAACATATTTGTCCCCGCATATAATATCTTCAAAATTCTCAAGATTCGTTTGGACTTGAGCATGTCCTTAAAAGGTTTCGTCTGGGCCACTTGTGGGCCTCAATATCCCCGGACGTAAAACACCTAGAGGGTATTCCCTCATTTTAGGGAAGACAAATGTACAAGGGGAGCAGGGGGCCTTGGGTTGTCCGGCCACCGGGACGTAAATAGATAGTCAGAGTAGAAAAAAGAAACTGCAACAGTAGGAATATATAAAATAGAAAAATTATTTACCGTAAACCTTAGACCCTCGAAAGACAAAATTGAAAAAAAAAATGCCTCCACAACCTTTTCCACTGTCTAGCTCATAAAGTATGGTCATAACCTTTTTAGGCTTCTTCCAATCTGCATACTGTTTCAATTTAAAGTTCAACAGTCCATAACAAACATGTCACTTGACAAATACTGTCTCCGACCTCCGACCCCAACAAAGTAATAGAGCTTGCTTGCCCAGATTGCAGCTACTTCTCTTCCTAGCCCAATAATTACGTAAAATGATTATATACATCAATTATGTGTTGAAAAGAGATGCTAGTTTGAAGGAATTCTTTGTTGTTTTTCTACTAGATACCCTCCATAACCCAGTACTGAAAACAGTTCATTGATTCGACATAAACGAACAACATGAAAGTTACTTTTTGAAAAAAAAAAAAGACTTGACTGTACTTTTTGAAAGTTTTAAAGTTAAATAGTACTTTCGTGACAAGTTTTGAAACTTCTAGTACACTTATCCCTGGAAACAAATATTTAAGTTGCTGGCTTCAAGTTTAATATAGCTGAAAGTCTTTGTTTTGATCCTAGTTGCAGTCCTTAGTAGCCACTTAGGTGGGAACATGTCCATTCAAGTTTGATTTTCAAGAGAAAATGGAGCTTCAGGTTCTCCTCATAGTGAAGTACTAAGTATAGACTAAAGATTACATATTCTCCTACTCGCCTCTCTGATAAACTTTCTGATCAAGACGTGGAATGAGCATAACTTCAAGCGGGCTCGCCTTCATATTCATCAAGCCGGGGCTCTCGGTCATGTCCACGGCTTCGTCTGAGGCCGTGCCGATTTCAAAACTCTGCAGCAAGCTAGCCAGCGTCAAGTGCACTGTGTGAAGAGCCAGCGAGGTTGCGGGGCAGGACCTCCTCCACGCGCCGAACGGGATGATCTTGAAGTTCTGACCTCTCATGTCCACATTCTCGTGCGTTGTGTGGAACCTCTCGGGCTCGAACTGGTCCGGGTTGGACCATACGCGCTCATCCTTCTGTATTTACCAGATGTTCAACAGCAATCGCGTACCTAACCAATCCCAGGGTATAAGAGCTTTTGCAGAAAAAGTGCAAACACAAGAAAATTTTACCCCATGATAAAGACATGGACCTCACGCTTGTTTAGCGTACTGGGTCGGTTTATCACGTCGATTTCAGAATATGTTTTTCCAAACTACTAAAGGGACCATGCTATATATGAACGTCTTATGTGCGATCGGTTTCTGATGAAATGCAAGGGCCACATACCTGCAGGAATGCGGAAGCCAGAGGAGAAGGTGCACTCTTCCAAGGACCTTCTAGGACCGCTCATTGGCACCGGTGGATACAAACGCATTGTTTCCTTGACGATGGCTTGGAGGTACGTCAAGTTCTTCACATCGGACTCTTCCACGGGCCTACTCTTGCCGACATGGGTGTCCAGCTCATGTTGTGCCTTCTTCAATGCGTGGGGGTTGTTCATTAGCAGCGATAGCGCCCAAGTAAGCGCCACCGTTAAAGTATCGGTCCCCCCTATTAGCATGTTTTATATCAAAAATAAAATAAAATGGGATTAACTCAAGTGCTTTAACATGAAAAGGGTGGAAGATGTCGGATGATGATGGTGATATGGTTAGGATCATATGTGATTTTGATGTCATATATCGTTTAAACACGGTATTTGTTCAAACAGTCTCCCTTATTCCGCAAAGAAAAACAGAGATAGAAACTTACTGCTTTGGCTCTTTGTGACATTTTCTTTCTGCTTTGGACATTTTATTATGATGATAACAATGAATTAACGCCATCTTCCGAAAGCAGACGAGTGTTCCTCTCTTTGGGTTAAGATGTAGACAGATAGTTATAGAAAAGATGCAAACTTTGACCGCTGTTTATTTTCTTAATTGATTCAGTATTTGGAAATGTAATAAACTATTGCCCTTCTAGTCTATCCTACTGGATGAATGCGAAATGTAATGAACTATTGCCCGTCTAGTCTATCCTGGATTCTAGACGAGTACAAAATGTCAACATCAGTACAACGTAAGTAGACAAAATAATGCTAGGTAGGAAAAACTTGAGGTACTCCCAGATTAAACATCTTGTATTTGCTCTAGATAAGCATAGTAAAGCTGGTTGTTTGCCAGATGCTGAAACTAGATTACTACATAATGTTTAGACTTTTAATGGATGTTAGAGGAAAAGAAAAAGAGTACAAGCCGCTCGTTTAAAGACCCATTTGCATTCAATGGTTTATCTTAGCTTACTAATTTAGTAGAGCGATCTTAATATATCCTGCATTGCTCTTCCTATCTGTTAGAAATATAATCTGTTAGAAGAACGAGATTATGATCTAAGAGTACTTAGAATCCATTTGCACTGGCGGCGACACCTCGATTATCAAAAAAAAAAAAACATACTAAAGCTGGTTGTTTGCCAGATGCTGAAACTAGATTACTACATAATGTTTAGACTTTTAATGGATGTTAGAGGAAAAGAAAAAGAGTACAAGCCGCTCGTTTAAAGACCCATTTGCATTCAATGGTTTATCTTAGCTTACTGATTTAGTAGACCGATCTTAATATATCCTGCATTGCTCTTCCTATCTGTTAGAAATATAATCTGTTAGAAGAACGAGATTATGATCTAAGAGTACTTAGAATCAAATAATATATTTCTAACACTGTCTCTGAATTAACAATTTCCTCCAAAGTTTCTTACGAAAACTAAAAATTTACATTGACTTGATCGAAACTAATAATTCTCTTACTCCTTAATGCAGGTAGTTTGCACAAGTTTAAATGTTTCTCTATTACCGGCCAACATCTATCGCAAATTCTTGATATGATCAAACTGTATTTGGAAAACATGTGAACAGCTAATAAGTTTATTATCATTAAATTATAAAAAATGTTGCTAAAAATTCTATACTTCTGCTGCTTATGGATGAAATGACTCCAACAAAATTGCATTCATGAAAATGCTTAAGGTTTTCGAGTATTGATGAGGCAGAAGCTTTAGTGAATGCATTAGCATTACTTCAGATCAACTTTCATGCACACGGTTCTAGATTCAAAACACTATAAGCTAGAATTACTCACCAAACAAGTCGCCTTAATAACTGTATCGGCGTTGAAATCTGAAAAATTCCCACCTTCGAGGACGTTCATCATCAAATCCATGAAATCTTGCTCTCTATTGCCTTCGGGGGAGGACAACCTCTTCCTTCTATGCTCCTCTAGCCACCCGTGAGCCAAAACATCCAACTCTTTTGCGGTCTTGTCCATTGATCGTTTATAGCCACCTAAGTCCAACCAGCTGAGAGCTGGGATCGCATCTGACAACACGAGGACCCCAAACAGATCGGAAAACCTCCTGATCGACCTTTTGCACTTATTTGCCTCGGTGTCATCGCAGTCCGTGTTTGAACCACTGTATCTCTTCCCTCTTGCCATTTTCACCGATATATTGAGCATCAGGTTTGCGAGCCAAGACTTCATTTCCACCAAGACCCCACTTCTGGGCTTACCCTTTTCGATCCAGGCCTCGAATAAGTCTTTTATCACTGTCTCGACTTCAAGAACTCATACGTGCTTCAGTGAGTCAACCCGGTGGTTTGAGAGGAGCTCCATCATCCCAATCTTGCGCATCTCTCGCCAGTATTCGCTGTAAGGAGCAAAGCCAAACATGGCTCCGTTGTAGCCCAGGAGCCTCGTGGCAGTGATCATTGGTTGATTCGCGAAGGCCTTATCATGGATGGGGAAACACTCCTTAGCCACTTCCCAACTGCTCACGACAATTGCTCAATGAGAGCCTAATCTTATTGTGAAAATCGGTCCGTACTTTTCGGCCATGGAACCCAACTTTTTGTGCATCAGGTCCGTACTGCCGAACAGAGGAAGGTGGCCGAAAATAGGCCAACCACCTTTGGCTTCGGGCACATCGCGACGGTCTTTGGACTTGTGTGATCGGTAGAGAGAGATGGCCGTTAGCAGGGCCAAGGTTGAGATCAGAATCATCAGTAACTCAATCAGAACTGGCATGATGAATGATTCCTGAAGTATAGCAGGACAGAGTTTATCTGGAAAAATTTCCTTTTAAGGGCTCATTTGCTGCTTTCCTTGCAGTTTCTAATGGATCAAATTGAGTGTTTAGAATTTTGAATTCCAATGGAGTTACGTATATTCTGAATGAAGTGCTCAGATCTTTGTCTTTTTTGGGAGGCTTTGAGAGTGTGGGGACAGAAGCCACAGGTCAGCCTAAGCAAGTTAATCTTTGACCACCACCAAAATAACTGCTCGCTATTAAATATATCTTCTGTGGCATGATGATCATCACTTCGAATTGGTTTTTCTATGTGGCTTCTGCTTAATTATTTTGATCACGTGCGACGAAATACTGTGGAGTCGGGTGTACTTCACTGTTCAACCTGATGATTCCATTTCTTCTCGTATCAGTAACATTTTATATGAAAATTTACCAGAAACTGTAGCTGCCTCAGATTGTTTGTTAGTCATACAAGTACTTGGTTTTGGTTCTGTTTTGTTCTCTGATAGTCACATACATTCAATTCTGGTATGATCCTGTAGAGATGCTCTTCTTCCAGATCATGTAAGTTTGACCTTAATTCCTAGGAATCTTCGATTTTTATTTCGAAGTGACATGCACGTCCTCCTGTTCATCCTGTGTGTGACGAAATGAGGGCCTGAAAAAGGATTTCCAACTTGTATATTGCCGCAATGAATACAAAAAAGACGTAGACCATTACTGAAACTAGCTTCAAGCGAACCTGTGCGAAACTATTTGAGATATTTGGTATGTACTCTGCTTGGTGACTCATCATTAATGACTTTGCTGAAGTGCGTTCGACATATCCACCAAAAACAGAGCTACATCCTACTCTCACTGTGTGCAAATGAGCTCTCGGACAAACCACTCTTATTCCATTGCCAGTATAAGCGCAAAAGAAAGATACTCTGGAATGAGACACTATAATTCTAGTGTATTCTATAGAGTCATTTGACATCGCACTCATACCCCAAGCTCTCTCAGGATATAATCAAGGGCGAGAAGGTTCAACAACAAAATCTGTTCCATTTCAATCCAACTTTCCTGTCCAACTGACTCGTCCAATCAAATGCAGGTCAACTGTGTGAGACCTTAAAGACAGTCTAAAACAAAAGAAAGGTACCCTGCTGAAATGGCACGAAATGTGAAGGCCTAAATCAAGAACGTACTATAACCAAAACATTCATTTGAACTATCTCCAAGGACCTTAATTTAGCATTTCTCATTTTGTAAAGCCTCACTCAATCGACGTTCGTGTCGACGATACCTTAAACAGGATTTCTTTGCCATTGATCAACTAGAACAAACAGGTAGTAGTTTGCTTGCCCTGATAGCAGTTAATTTTTCTCTTCCCAGTCCAATGCCTGTGTAGAATAAATAAATAAATCTCTTGATATTGAAAAGAGATGCTAATTTTTGAAGGATTGCTTTATTGTTTTTCAGAAATACCCTCCTAAGTAATATTTAAACAGTTCTTGATGCCATGAAATTTGTAAACTAACAAAATATGAATAGAAACTATTGATTAAGTAGTTGGCTTCAAGTTTACTATAATCGAGTCTTTGTTTTGTTCCTGATTGCAATCCTTAGTTGCCTCTTAGGTGGGAACGTATGCATTCAAGTTTGCTTTTCAAGAGAAAATGGAGCTTCAGGATCTCCTCATAGTGAGGTACTAACTATAGACAAAAGATTACATGTTCTCCTACTCGCCTCTCTGATAAACTTTTTGATCTAGGCGTGGAATTAGCATAACTTCAAGCGGGCTCGCCTTCATATTCAGCAAGCCGGGGCTCTCGGTCATGTCCATGACTTCGTCCGAGACTGTGCTGATTTCGAAACTCTGCAGCAAGCTAGCCAGCGTCAAGTGCACTGTGTGAAGAGCCAGTGACGTTCCGGGGCAGGATCTCCTCCCCGCACCGAAGGGGATGAGCTCGAAGTTATGACCTCTCATGTCCACATTCTCATGCGTTGTGAGGAACCTCTCGGGCTCGAACTCGTCCGGGTTGGGCCATATGCGCTCGTCCCTCTGTATTTTCCAGATGTTCAACAGCAATCGCGTACCTAACCAATCACAGGGTATAAGAGCTTTTGCAGAAAAAGTGCAAACACAAGAAAATTTTACACAGATCTTGAGGAATGAAGATACAAGTCAAAGTCAAAGAAGGTTTGGCTAATGGGAAGTGGGCTTTGCCCTCCTGAATCAATGGACAGACTCAAATTCCGAGATCACAGACGAAAGAGATAAAAAAAACCTCGCATTTTGACTTGTTACAAAGACTCGTACAGAGACTTTGTAATCCATTGTTAGACAACTCACATCTATCACAGTGACGCAGGTAGTTTTAATTTGAAGAGTTAAATAATCATCCAAATTAATGGTGATGAGTATAGCTTGTATATATGAAGATTCCACAGACCGTATATTTAAAACTAATCCCGCTCTTTTCCGCAAAATCTTGATAGTATAAGGTCTAGACTTCTTTTGTTGGTCCCGAATCGATATACCATGCAGGAACGCAGTCCATTCTTTACCCCATGATAAAGACATGGACCTCACACTTAGTTGGTAAACTGACTCGGTTTATCACGTTGATTTTAGAGTATGTTTTTCCATACTAAAGGGACCATGCTATATATCAATGTCTTATGTGCGATCGATTTCTGATGAAATGCAAGGGCCACATACCTGCAGGAATGCGGAAGCCAGCGGATAGGGTGCACTCTTCCATGGACCTTCTAGGACCGCTCATTGGCGCCGGTGGATACAAACGCATTGTTTCCTTGACGATGGCTTGGAGGTAGGTCAAGTTCTTCACATCAGACTCTTCCACGGGCCTACTCTTGCCGACATGGGTGTCCAGCTCTTGTTGTGCCTTCTTCAAAGCACGGCGGTTGTTCATTAGCAGCGATAGCGCCCAAGTGAGCGCCACCGTCAAAGTGTCGGTCCCCCCTATTATCATGTTCTATAACCAAGAAAATAAGGGATTAACTCAAGTGCTTTAACATTAAAGGGTGGAAGATGTCAGATGATGGAGATATGGTTAGGATCATATGTGATTTTGATGTCATATATCATTTAAACACGGTATTTGTAAATGAACTTGAATCAAAATAGATTCACACTCTCAAAATTTCGCACGGACCACGTTTAAGTGTTCCAGTCTTTTCTGTTTAGAGCCCAGTGCGAATCACCTTACTCCAATTCCAAGAACAAACAGTCTCGCGTATACTGCAAAATAAAACAGAGCCAGATTCTTTCTGAAGCGGCAGTTCTTACTGCTTAGGCTCTTTGTGCCATTTTCTTTCTGCTTTGGATACTTTATTATGATGATAACAATGAATTAACGCCATCTTCCGAAAGCAGACGAGTGTTCCTCTCTGTGTTCAGATGTAGACAGGTATAGTTATAGAAAAGATGCAAACTTCAACTGTTATTTATTTTCTCAATTGATTCATTATTTGTAAGAACCATTTGGGGACAAAAGAAGGTAGTTTTTTACCACACTACAGGTCATGGATATGCTGGATGATGCGCCATGTAATTGCCCGTCTAGTCTATCCTGGATTCTAGACGAGTACAAACTACAAAATGTCAACATCAGTACAACGTAAGTAAACAAAATGATGCTAGGTAGGAAAAATTTAGGTATTCCCAGATTAAACATCTTGTATAGTCCGAGGATCAATTTTGATTTCTATGTGTACCGATGAGTCACAATATTGTCTTTTCCTCAAATCTGATGATCGCAATCGCTCCTCGAGCACAAAAAAAATCTGCCCAAGAGCATCTGGTATGTGCTCTAGATAAACGTACTAAAACTGGTTGTTCGCCGTATACTAAAACTATATTACTACATAATGTTTAGACTTTTAATGGATGTTAGAGGAAAAGAAAAAGAATACAAGCTGCTCGTTTTAAAGACTTATTTACAATCAACGGTAAATTTTCAGATTACTAATTTAGTAGACCAATCTTAATATATCTTGCATTGCTCTTCCTGTCTCTGAATTAACAGCCTCCTGCAGAGTGTCTTACAGAAACTAAAAATTTACATTGACCGGATCGAAACTAATGATTCTCTTACTCCCAAATGTAGTTAGTTCGCACAAGTTTAATTGTTTCTCTATTACCGGCCAACATCTATTGCAAATTCTTGATATGATCAAACTGTATTTGGAAAAACACGTGAACAGGTGATAAGTTTATTATCACTAAATTATAAGTGGATTTTGCTAAATATACTATACTTCTGCCGCTTATGGATGAAATGACTCCAACAAAATTGCATTCTTGAAAATGCTTAAGGTTTTTGAGTACTGATGGGGCGGAAGCTTTAGCGAATGCATTAACATGACTTCAGATCAACTTTTATGCACACAGTTCTAGTTTCAAAACACTATAAGCTAAAAATAACTCACCAAACAAGTTGCCTTAATAACTGTATCGGCGTCGAAATCTGGAAAATTCCCACCTTCGAGGACGTTCATCATCAAATCCATGAAATCTTGCTCTCTATCGCCATCGGGGCAGGACAGCCTCTTCCTTCTATGATCCTCTAGCCACCCCTGAGCCAATACATCCAACTCTTTTGCGGTCTCATCCATCGATCGTTTATAGCCACCTAAGTCCAACCAACCAAGAGCTGGGATCGCATCTGACAACACGAGGACCCCGAACAGATCGAAAAACCTCTTAATTGACCTTTTGCACCTATTTGCCTCGGTGTCATCACAGTCTGCGTTTGAACCACTGTATCTCTTCCCTCCTACCATTTTCACCGATATATTGAGCATCAGGTCTGCTAACCAAGACTTCATTTCCACTAAGACCCCACTTCTGGGCTTGCCCTTTTCGATCCAGGCCTTGAACAAGTCTTTTATTGCGGTCTCGACCTCAAGAACTCGTATGTGCTTCAGTGAGTCAAGCCGGTGGTTCGAGAGGAGCTCAATCATCGCAATCTTGCGCATCTCTCGCCAGTATTCTCCGTAAGGACCGAAGCCGAACATGGCACCGTTGTAGCCCATGAGCCTCGTGGCGGTGATCAACGGCCGATCGGCGAAGGCCTTGTCATGGACGGTGAGACACTCCTTAGCTACTTCCCAACTGCTCACCACGATTGCTCGATGAGAGCCTAACCTTATGGCAAAAATTGGTCCGTACTTTTCGGCCATGGAACCCAACTTTTTGTGCATCAGGTCCTTACTGCCGAACAGAGGAAGGTGGCCGAAAATAGGCCAACCACCTTTGGCTTCAGGCGCATCACGATGGTCTTTGGACTTGTGTGATCGGTAGAGAGAGATGGCCGTTAGCAGGGTCAAGGTTGAGATCAGAATTATCAGCAACTCAATCAGAATTGGCATGATGAATGATTCCTGAAGTATAGCAGGACAGAGTTTATCTGGAAAAATTTCCTTTTAAGAGCTCATTAGCTGCTTTCCTCGCAGTTTCTAGTGGAAGAAATTGAGCGTTTAGAATTTTAGAGTCCAATGGAGTTACATATATTCTGAATGAAGTGGTCAGATCCTTATCTTTTTGTGGAAGCTTGGAGTGTGTGGGGACAGAGGCCAAAAGTCAGCCTAAGCAAGTTAATCATTGACCACCACCAAAATAACTGCTCGCTGTTCAAAATATATCTTCTGTGGCATGATGATCATCACTTTGAATTGGTTGTTTAATGCGGCTTCTGCTTAATTATTTTGATCACATACGACGAAATACCGTGGAGCCGTGTGTACTTCACTGTTCAACCTGATAATTCCTCTCATATCAGTAACATTCTATATGAAAATTTACCAGAAACTGTAGCTGCCTCAGATTGTTTGTTAGTCATATAAGTACTTGGTTTTGGTTCTGTTTTGTTCTCTGATAGTCGCATACATTCAATTCTGTTATGATCCTAGAGAGATGCTCTTCTTCCAGATCACGTAGTATTTGACCTTAAGTCCTAGGAATCTTCCATTTTTATTTCAAAGTGACATACACGTCCTCTGGTTCATCCTATCCGTGACGAAGTGAAGGGCCTGAAAAAGGATTTCCAACTTGTATATTGCCGCAATGAACACGAAAAAGACGCAGACCATTGCAGAAACTAGCTTCAAGCGAACCTGTGCGAAACCATTGGAAGCTGCTTCTGCCCCCGAGGTGATCTTTGGTATGTACTCTGTTTGGCAACTCATCATTCATATCTTCGCTGAAGTGCGTTCGACATATCCACCGAAAACTGAGAGCTACATCCTACTCTCACAGCGTGTAAATGAGCTCTTGGACAAACCACTCTCATTCCATTGCCGGTATAAGTGCAAAAGAGAGATACTCGGAAATTCTGGGAGTTAGACCCTATAATTCTAGTATATTCTATAAAGTCATTTGACATCACAGTCATGCCAGTCCAATGCCTGTGTAGAATATGTAAAAAAATCTGTTGTATACTGAAAAGAGATGCTAATTTTAAAGAATTGCTTTATTGTTTTTCAGAAATACCCTCCTAAGTAAAATTTGAACAGTTCTTGATGCCATGAAATTTGTAAACTAACAAAATATGAATAGAAACGATTATTTAAGTAACCGGGTTCAAGTTTATAATCCTTAGTAGCCCTTAGGTGGGAACACGGACATTCAGGTTTGATTTTCAAGAGAAAATGGAGCTTCTGGCTCTCCTCATAATAATGTAACAACTATAGTAAAAAATTACAAATTCTCCTACTCGTCTCTTTCATAAACCTTCTGATCAAGGCGAGGAATGAGCATGACTTCAAGTGGGGTCGCCTTCAAATTCGACAGGCCAGGGCTCTCAGTCATGTCCACGGCTTTGTCCGAGACCATGCCGATTTCGAAACTTTGCAGTAAGCTAGCCAGCACCAAGTGCACCATGTAAAGAGCCAGCGAGGTTCCCGCACAGGACCTCCTCCCTGCGCCGAAGGGGATGAGCTCGAAGTTCTGACCTCTCATGTCCACATTCTCATGTGTCGTGAGAACCTCTCGGGCTCGAACTCATCTGGGTTGGACCAAACGCGCTCGTCCCGCTGTATTTTCCCGATGTTCAACAGCAAATGCGTACCTAACCAATGACCGAGAATGACAGCTTTTGTAGAAAAGTGCAAACCCAAGAAAATGTTACCCTGATCTTAGGAACGAAGATGCAAGTCAAAAAGTCCTAGAGAAATTTTGGCGAGTTGGGAAGTGGACATAGTTACACAACTCATATCCATCACGGCAACGTGGGTAGTTGTAATTTGAAAAGGTAAATGACTATTCAAATCAATGATGATCAAAGATACGATAAGCTGTATATGTAAAACTAATCCAAACCTTTTCAGCAAAATTTTGATGGTATATGGTCTAGATTTATTTTACTGGACCTGATCATAATACTGTGTAACTAGACAGTCCATTCTTGACCCCATGATAATAGATCAGCACGCTTATTTCATGAATTGGCCCGGTTCATCACGTCGATTATAGAGTCTATTTTTTTCATGCCGAAGAGACCGTACTATAAATCAATGTCCTATATGCGATCGATTTCTGCTGAAATGCGAGGGCCACATATCTGCGGGAATGCGGAAGCCGGTGGAGAAGGTGCAATCTTCCATGGCACTTCTAAGACCAACTGGCACAGGGGGATATTAACGCAGTGTCTCCTTGACGAATGCTTGGAGGTAGGTCAACTTGTTCACATTGGACTCTTCCACGAGCCTGCTCTTGCCGACATGGGTGTCCAGCTCTTGTTGGGCCTTCTCCAATGCGTGGCGGTTGTTCACTAGCAGAGACAGCACCCATGTGAGCACCGCCGTTGTAGTATCGGTCCCCCCTAGGATCATGTTCTATAGCCCCAAAAGAAAAAAGTGTGATCAACTCAAGTGCTTTAACATAAAAGGGTGGAATCAAATATGATTTGATATGTCATATCTCCTATTCAAATGATATACAAAGTCTTTGTAAATGAACTTGAAATAAACTAGATTTTTTTTTATTGAATCAAACTAGATTGGTATGATCAAAATTTCACTCAGATCGCATTTGATACTTAAAGAAGGAGAGAAGAAACAAAACACATCTTTGATTTAAGTAAGTTTCTGGATCATTGATTTAATCTCCGGTGGTTGCTAAGGTGGTAAGTGTTCGTCTTTTCTGTTTGAAGCCTAGTTCGAATCACCCTACTCCCACTTTTAATTGAGATTTATTAGTCGGGTAATCAAAGAGCCTTGATATTCTTAGGCGATAGATTCTTACTGAAGAGGCAAAATGTCATTGCTCCTTAATTTGGCGCGTAGTGCCGTATTATTTCTGCTTTAGATATTTTAATATATCTTGACTTAGTAGATCTCTGACCAATCTCCTCTGTCCAATGGTAATGGTTTAGAGGCTAGATGATTACGATGAATTAACGCTAACTATCAAAAGCAGACACTTGTCCTCTATGTTAAGATGTAGACAGATACAGAAAAGATGCAAACTTTGACTGTTATGCCACACTACAGATCAAAAAGCGAAATGTAATAAACTATTGCCGTCTATCCTGGAGTCCAGATGAGTACAACGTAAGACATATGACATATTTTCTAATTTATTAGACTTTTCTTAGTGTATCTCGCATCACTCTTCATGTCTCTGACTTTACAACTTTCTGCAGAGTTTCTTACGGCAACTGAAAATTTATACAGACAAGATCGAAACTAATGGTTCTCTAGATCCCATAAGTAGGTAGTTCACACAAGTGTAAAGGTAATTCCATTTCCAGCCAACAACTATGGCAAAATCTTGATATGATCAAACTGTATACGGGAAAACATGGGAACATGAAATAAGTTTATTGTTATTGAATTATAAGTGGAATTTGGTGAAAGTATTATACGTCAGCTGCTTATGGATGAAATGACTCCAACATAATGGCATTCATGAAAATGCTTCGGGTATTGATGGGGAAGAAGCATTGTGAATGCATTAGCATGACTTCAAATCAACTTTTATGCACACAGTTTTAGTTCCGAAACATTATGAGGTAGAATTACTTACCAAACAAGTCGCCTTAATAACTGTGTCAGCATCGAAATCTGAAAAGTTCGCACCCTCCATGACATTCAGCATCAAATCCATGAAATCTTGCTCTCTATCACCTCTGGGGCGGGACATCCTCTTCCTTCTATGCTCATCTAGCCACCCCTGAGCCAAAACATTCAACTCTTTCGCTGTCTCCTTCATCGTGAAGGGATGTGTTGAGAACCGAAACAAAACGATCACGCAGAAAACAGAGAAAATAGACGATGCACGAATTTACCCAGGTTCACCCTCGATTAGGGCTACGTCCTGCAAAGAGATTTCACTATGTTTTCGGTTTACAGCCACTCAACTCATTACAATGATCAGAAAAACGAGCAAAATATATATATGCCCCAAACGGGCCCAAAACCTAAACCTATATGAAATCTCTTAATCTCGCACTATACGGGCCAGCCCAAACCCGTTGAGGTTTCGGGGGCGCTGCCCCCGAGCCCCCGCCCGCTCACCGGCGAGCAGGGCAGCCGTCCGCTGACCGGGCAGCGGGGCACCCGTGTCGGGGGCGCTGCCCCCGAACCCCCGCATTCCGCACGCATGGGTCACATGTCGTTGGACAACACTTCAGTTTCCCTAAGCTCACGTGGGCGTACCCGGTGTGAGAAACAAGGGTCCCCGAAGTATTCGCCAACTCCAACATTCTCCCACTTGGTGGATACTTCGCGCAAATGAGGGCCTTTCCAATATCATTCTTCTTCAATCCAATCGCAGTAGAGCACCATTCAAACTTCGCACCTGTGACGGCTTTAGTAAGGAAGTCAGAACTATTTTCTACCGTGTCAACCTTTACAAGCCGAACCTCTTTCTTCTCTACCTTTTCTCGGATGAAATGATATTGTATATCAATGTGCTTTGTGCGTGAGTGAAATGCTGGATTCTTAGCTAAATAAATAGCCCCTTGATTATCACATCTCACCTCTATGGCACCTTGCTCAAAACCGAGCTCCAAGCACAACCGCCGTAACCATACGGCCTCTTTTCCAGCATGAGTAAGAGCCATATACTCAGCCTCAGTAGAAGAAAGCGCTACCACGCTTTGCCTCCTGCTCATCCAACTCAATGCAGCACCAAATAATGTGAAAACATATCCGCTAGTGGACCGTCTACTATCAATATCTCCACCCCAATCAGCATCTACATGGCCTACGATATCAAACATGTTTCCATTCCCTGTACCTTCAAAACATAAAGAAAAATTCAAAGTTCCACGAAGATACCTGAAAACTCTTTTGATCGCATTCCAGTGTTCTCTACCTGGGTTAGACATGTATCGACTCAAGACTCCCACTGCTTGGGCTATATCCGGACGCGTGCACACCATAGCATACATCAAGCTACCCACTGCACTCGCGTATGGAATTCGGGCCATCTCTTCAGCTTCTTCATCCGTTTTTGGACATTGTTCCGCAGATAGCTTGGTCCCTAAAGGTATA